GTGTAATTATACATGATTGTGTGAATATATAATATTCATTTCATATATAAGCACTGGCAGTGCTTATCTGTTGGCTTCTGTTATTTCATGTGTGTATTTTTTAGTATTTTTTGATGATTCATAGAAAAGAGGATGTGATCATCTCCTGACATTAGTCCGTGTATTTACTCATGGTCACTTTATAGTTTTATTTCCAGCTGAAGTTCTCAGTCAACTTCAGGGATTTAAAAAAACTTTAGTTTCGTCTACAACAAAAACTCAAACTCTGTGAGATCATTGTTCTGGTCTCTGACACTACGAGAAGTAGAAGGTGGTCTGTGTGTTTCTGCTGATGACGTTAGAGGATCAGACTCAGTGGAACTAGAACTCTAACATCGCACCTGTTCTCCAGGTGTGTCGCTGCGTCGGGGGCGGTGCTCTCAGGAGGAGAATCAGAGAATCAGGCAGAATGTGTCAGACTTCCTGGCTCTGACGGGCATCAGCTCAGTCAATCAGCTTCTGTTTCCTCAGAGGTATAAAGAGCAGGAAGTTCAGATCAGGAGGCTGAGAGCCCGACATCACTTCCTGGAGAAGATAGGTATGTGAATACATGACCATTGTGATCTATGTTTAGGTCACTGATAAAAATAACTATTATAAATAATACATAAATTAAATTACTCTCTCTCTCCGCCTGTCTGTCTCTCAGCTGAGGGGATCCCCCGGACATGTCAACAAGTTCTCACCAGAGCCAAGAAGCTTTTTGATGACAGGAATCACATGGGAAGGTCAGAGATCAAATAATCATATAATCTTCCTGTTATTTGGATTCTACCTGTAGAACCCAATCATTATGTTTTACCCGTGGAACCCTCTGTATCTTTACATTTTTATCTGTGGAACCCTGTGTATCATATTCTTTGTGTCTTCTTTCAGGTTCACGGAGGGGGAAGTGAGTTCTCTGATCAAGTTACAGAACCTTCATGGTAATGACTGGAAGACAATTGCTGAGAAGATGGACCGCAGCGTGTATGCTTTACAGAAACGCTTCTCCACCATCGGTAAACAATCTGAACCACAATTCTCTTAAATGAGAACATTCTGCACACATGAGAACATCAATTCTGGACAGTCTGTCAGTACATTTGAGGTGGAGGCAAGTGAGGTTGTTGTAGTTGAGTCAGCGGAGATGAAAAAATGTGTCCAGTAAATTGTTCTCGTGTTTCTGAAAATGTTCTGACAGTGAAGGTTTCCTGATTGTGGAACACTTTTCTGTTCAGTTTCATTGTTCTTGCTCTATCGCATATTTAAATACAAAGTGAAATAAGGCACAGGAAAAAACATACCAGATTTCTCTCTGGTTATAAAGAACATCATTCTCCACATGAGTTTTCTGCCTTTCTTCATGTGACCTCCTGCCGCACTACATCTTGAACACTCTGAAAACCTGTAGAAGGAGCCCAGGACTTGTTAGTACCCAAAGTTGGATAACGGTTCAGCTGAAATCCTGTTGGGTCTCTGTGTCTTCCTCTGCAGCTGCAGGTCGTGGGTTGTGGAGTGCAGATGAAGAGTCCAGGTTGAAGTCTGCTTTGAAGGCTCACCTGGAGGTCATAGCCCAGCAGAGTCCTGGTGCTGGTCTGAGCAGAGACCAGCTGTTCAACAACCTGCCATGGAAGGAAATCAGTCAGCATGTTGGAACCAGGTCCTGGACCCAGTGTCGCCTCAAGTGGTCAGTACAGTGTTATATCTGGATCCAGATATTAGACCCAAAACAGAATAAAAAGATTACACCTGACAATTACTCTTCTTTAGCACTGAGGGAAATACACTGCTCAATAAAGTGAGGGAACCTTAATGCTCAGTGTAAACTTCAGATCCATGTGTTCATTTAGAAGAACAAGTGATTGTGAATCAGTTTCTCTGTTTTGGTGCAAATCAAAGTCACATCAGGTTCAATGAGACAAAATCAAGACGAGTCCCAAACAGGGAATGTTTTTAATGTGGTGTCCACAGACAGCTGCTCTCTCCTGGTCCTTCCTGACTCATTCTAGTTCTGTGTTCTGCTCGGGTCCTCGTCACTACTGGTAGCATGAGGCGCTAACTGCAGCACCATCAGGTTGCACAGGTAGTCCAGCTCCTCCAGGAGGACTCATCCATACATGTGGTCACAAGAAGGTTTGTGTCTCCAGAGCCTGGAGGAGACACCAAGTCCGTCCACAGACTATTCAGGAGCTCAGTGATGATCCAGGGCTGGGAGGAGATCCCCCAGGACTCCATCCTCCATCAGGATAATCATGTCGTTGTCAGGAGAACATCCAGGCCACACCCACTGAGTCACATGATGACTTGATGAAATTCATACAAGTTGGATCAGCCTGTGGTTTCAGTTTGTTACTGGGATGTTCAGTGTGGATTTGATTGGTGGTGACCTTTGTTCGGTCATTTTTAATAAAATCTGGATTTCTTTCTACCAAACCCTCTTTCCTATTTCTCTTACACATGATTTAGATGCTCGGGTGATCATGTGCTCAGATTCTCAGGTGTTCTCTGTGTTTCAGGTTCAGCATCCTGAAGTTTAAACTGTCTCCAGGTGGCAGCATCTTCAACAGAGGAGCTGCAGGACTTCAGGCTAAAATCCATCTCATTAACACGTAAGATCTCAGGAACCACCTGAACCAGACTGTACCTCAACCTGACCAGATTTGAACCAATCACGTGTGGGGTTTTTTCAGATTGTACAACATGCATGTTGAAGACGTTGCAGACATCGACTGGGACCAGGTGGCTCAGGATGTTGGGTGAGGTCGAAAGGTCGCAGTGACCGGTCATGAGTCTGAGCACTTAATTTAGTCAGTTATGACTCATTGAGGTACTGATGTAGTACTGATGAAGTACTGGTGTAGTACTTTGTAGACCTAATGTAGTACATATCAAGTACTTATGTTGTATTGGTGTGGTACCATCTGTACTGTTAAAGTAACTGTAGTAATGTGTTGATGTGTTGCAGTAACGTGACTCCTGTCTGTGTACAGAAGAGTTTTCACAGACTGAAAGTTTCCAGAGTTCCCAACTGGACCAGTTTATCATATGGAGGTTAGTATTGTAATACTTCATACTACTGTGATCATTACATCATCATACTGTGATGAGTGCTTCATAGTACTGTGATCAGTACTATATCTATCAGTTCTATAAAACAATCTTTGTGATCTGGATTTTGAATCAGGGTCAGAATTTACTCTAGTTTGTGGACTTTGATTGGCTGCATAGTCAGTGACATCATGTGATGTCAGAGACAAGCCATAGATTTATCCGTCTGAAACGTCAAGCTGGTTGTCGTCAGCCATCGGTTTGCAGATTACAGATACAGAGGAAACATGAATAAAATAAACAGACATGAGGATGATCATTAATCAAGTGAAACCAAGCTGCAGTGTCCGCTACCAACCACAGGTCAAGTATCGTGGTCAGACATAACAATTGTAAGGTCATTTACTTTGCATCTGTTGATGAGTGTGTTTACATGACGAGTTGTTGGTTAATCTTTGTTTTAACTGTATGCGGATTATACAAGCGCAGTGTGGTATTTCTAGTGTTGAAGTTGAATGTTCTCTCCTGTTATAAATGTTAAAAGTTTTTAAGATGTTTAAATTCAAGTCAGTCTCCCCTATTCCTCAGACATCATTGACTTCCTGTATCAGAGGGAACTCCCTGACCTGAAGGAGAAACTAAAGAAGTGCATGAGAGAGCAGGAAGAGCACATACAGGAGAACAGCTACCAGCTGTGTGACATCATCACCTCTCAGGATGACGACTATGAGGAGGTGAACAACAGTCAGGTGATGTTCAGTCAATCAGGACACAGAGGGATGTGAAGTCAGCAGCCGGCGACTTAAAAACAACAGGCCCCGTCCACTAAGTGGCACTTCCTGTAAGGGGTGGGACTTCCTGTCAGACTGAAACATTATAGCTCTCTCAAAATTCAGGGGCCACCACCTTCGAAGGAGGCGGAGCCTGAACTGAGACGCAGCAGTTGAACCAGTTTTACTTAGAAGTCTTTAAACCTAAGAAACTGAATGGAAGCTTTTATTTTGAAGGTGCTGCCTGGTGAATTGATTATTGATGTAACCAGATGTTTGCTGTTTTAACTTTTAAAGAAAGTTTTCATCTTTTTCATTTTTGTCATCTCGTTTCTGCTTTGATATTAGTCACATTGATCAATATTAGTGGTTAGTTAATACAGGGCTCTGACATTTAACATTATTAAATGAATTGTTTTATTAAAAATAACCCCTTAAGGTTTTGAATCAGTGGATATTTTTCATGTTATCTATTCAAATTTAAGTTTGACTAAGTTTTAAATCCCTTCAAACCCCTCAACTCATCTTAATGACATCATTGAGTAAATGAATGGGAAAAAAAAAATAATTTGAAGGTTTGATCACAAAAGAAAAATAAATGAATAAAACACACACAAATTAGACAATAAATACTATATTTAGTGTTTCAGGGTGTTTCTATGATTCTAATGTAAACCTAAGGGACATTTTCTATTCTCTGAAGTTTATCGATTTTAGACAGAAATGATTCAAATTAATGATGGATGGGGAGTAGAAACTGCTAAATGTGAAGTATAAGCTTCATGCTAGCTTGGAGAAGAAATCCCTGGACACACCTGGTTTGACAAAGCAGCTTTTCAGAGTCTGTCATTGATTCAATCACAAATCAATCATTACCTCACATTAGATTTATAATAATAATAATGCCTTGATTTTATATAGCGCCTTTACAGGACCCAAGGACGCTTTACATAAGTTTGTGAGGACAAGACAGAAGAGAAAAGAAAAAGTAATAATACAAAACAGGATCAAATTTAGCAGCAGGGTGGAGCATGAACTGAGGCCAAAGGCCTTAGTGAAGAGGTGGTACTTGAGGCGTTTTTGAAGATTTCAACAGATTCAGCGTTGCGTATTTTGACAGAGAGAGAGTACCAGAGGGTGGGGGCTGCAACACTGAAGGCTCTGTCTCCAAAAGTTTGGAGTTTGGTGTTGGGGATGGAGAGCAAACCTGAGTTTGATGATTATAGCCTTCTGAGCGGAGTGTAGGGTTGGATGAGGTTGGTTGAATAATTATTTAAAATATTTTTAAGGTGGAAGAAGGCGGATTTGGTGACAGATTTGATGTGGGATTTGAAGGAGAGGGTGGAGTCAAGAACAATGCCCGGGTTGTGGACCTCGGGGGAAGGGGAGATGGAGCGCAGTCGATGTTGAGGAGGAGATCTCCAACCTTCTGGAGCAGAGCCTTGGGGGCCACAACCATGAGTTCTGTCTTATTACTGTTCAGTTTTAGGAGGTTTGATGAAATCCACACTTTGATGTCGTGTAGGCAGTTGACTAGTGACTGGGGGGAGCTCAGTGGAAGGATGAGTGCTTAAGAAGAGTTGGTTGTCGTCGGCGTAAGAGTGGAAGGTAAGGCCGTGTTGGTCGGATGATTTCATTTAGCTGACGTGTTTATCCAAAGCGACTTCCATAAGTGCATCAACCATGAAGGAACAAACCCAGAACAGCAAGACACTCCTGCTGATGTTTTACTGGATGAACTTTCACATTCCGTCTGATTTACTTCACTTCCTGTTTATTTCCACGACAACTTCAACTGAACTACTGAGAACCAAAGTCACTGTAGTTCATCTGTCACTGATGTATTCTGGGTACTGTAGTTGGTCTGTCAGTCACAGCCTGTAGGCTGTTGGTTCTCTTCATGATGTTCGGGACAAACAGAAGTCCTGACGCTCTCTCTATGGTTTCTATGGGAACCAGGAAACGCTCCAGAGGAACCTTCTCATCTATTGGTTCATTTGGTAAAACATAGGACCGAATCTCCACTCCTCTACCATCCGCCTGCTCCAGGATCAGCACCTGAGTAGACACAGGAAAGGTGACGTCATTGGCTGACAGACAGGTGACTTCATCCTCATCATGATGAGGACTCACCTTGAAGAAGTGGGTTGGCACAGCGACGTGGTTTCGTCCAATAACCTGATAACGAACGTAGAGTTTCCCATCAGCCTCATGCCTAAAACACACACACACCTGATGAGGTCATCCTGAAGATCCTCCCCTGAGCACTTAGACACCACAGAAGAAGAGTCAGAGGTTACCTGGGCAGGTAGAGTGGACCGCTGCACACGTACACGTTCAGGTAACGTTTGGTCAAAGAGCGACAGAGTTTCTCCAGATTGTTCCAGGTGTTCTGGTTCAGGTGAGGGTTCTGAGCACACACACAAACTGTAACTGTGTGCGTGTGTGCGTGCGTGCATGCGTGCGTGCGTGCGTGCATCTGTTTGTTACCTGTGGGGCGACGTTGCTCAGGTAGAATGTGTCGTCCATTGCTTTCTGACTCCACTTGTGATTGGCTGCTGCAGCCAGGTGACCTCTGTCGAAGCCACTCCCCCTGTAGTCATCATTGGTCGACCTATGAAACAAGTGCACACTGGAGAAGGAGTTTAGTCTCAGGAAACAAATCAACAGCTTTGTTTTCATACAAGTGATGAATCCCGAGTTTGTTAGTTGTCTTCCTGCTGAGGATTTACTCACCTGTCATCTTCTCTGAAGTCACAGTACTTCCTGTTTGATGACCCACACAGGGAGGCAGGGTTCAGCCTCTCAATCACCCAGGATGCAGTGCGTGTGCGGGGGTCGTAGGAGGTTACGTAGGACTCTCGGGTCTTGATGTTGGCCAATGAGGGAAAGCCGTACTTCATCACAGCTCCGGATGCACCTGGACTCACCTGGATTATCAGTCACAGCGTTAGTGAGTCACAAACCAATCAGAGCAGCTGGATGAAGACCTGGAAAGAAAACCTTGTCCGATCTGGAGCAGATCTAGAAATATCTTTTTAAAACCATCATGGACCAGAGTCAAGACCAGGAGGCCGAGCCTCAGTCTTACACACTTCTGTTTCTATTGGAGCAGTTACACTCCCCCCCTCCATTTCCTATAGAAACACATAGGATATATATACATTAAACTTGATAAAAGTTCAAACCACTATATCAAAAAAATATAAGAATAAAATGTGGTTAATTAAATATCAGGTCCCTTAATGATCTGATTTACTGTGGAGCTGAATATGTGACGCCCCCCAACACACTGGAGACACAAACAGAGGAAACTTATAAACCCTGAGTTCTCATCAG